TGAATGGCGGCTGATTTAGCATAGCAGTAGTTCGCTGCGCGTTATTAAAGTGGAGACGACAGCTAATGCATGGAGCGTGATAGCTGATTCATGCCCTATATCTTTTACAAGTCGCTCGCGTTATTTGGCTACCGAGAGCGTCGTTTCGTTTATTCGGATCTTCAGTTGTGTGTTTGCCTTACGTAAACATCGTCACAATCGGTACAAGCAGTCACTAAGCCGCAGTAGTTACGGCTTAAGAGGTCCTCTCAATAGTCTCTTCATTGTGTCCATTTGAAAAGTGGTACGAATGTTGAAACTGGAGAATACGCAACGGATGCTTTCGGAGCTGTATTGCCAGTCCGAGATCCGCATCGTGTCAGGTAATTCAAACCTCCGCCTGGCTGCGGTATCTTGGTTGAGTAGCTGAAGCTTATGTGCGATGAAATCTGCTGGATACCAGTTACTTCTCAGTGTCTGTTTAGTGGGAGTAATCTCGTTTTCGACCAAGATATGGATCTTATTCCCTCGGTGAACCAGTGTGCGAGTTACTGCTCCGGGTTTAGGTAGCAATCTGATTGCGTTGGCTTGTAGTGGGGTGTGGTTTGAAAGTGATCATGGTTCCAAGAGGGCTTGCGCTCAAGGGGAAAGCAGTCGTTCCGTTAGATGTCTTGTTTTCTACCGTGACGTGGACTTTCACTAAACAAGTGGCTGCTCATGAGCCTTTAATATGGATGGACGTAATAGACATACCACCTAGTGACTGTTGTGGGGAGGGGATTAGAAAGACGCCTGGTACAGTTCGAACATTCGAGGGAAATAAGATCACTGAAATGTGCCAGGATAGGAAAGCGTACAATATAGTTATGCATTTTTATTCGAAGACAGGAAATGATGGCTTCTATCCTTGATATATGTGATAATGTGAGGATTTCAAAAGCGATGCATATAATAGAATAGACTGGCTCGTCGTCCCACTGGTTATTCTTTGTTCGAAATCCACATTATACTACCTCTGATTGAATTTTCTTTCTCTTGTTGTTACAGATCGATCAGCTGAAAGTCCCCGAAGTATGCCTCGGGTTCGAGATATCGGATCCGGAACTTCGCGCCGCTGCCGTCGCACTACGCCTATTAAACGTTAACGAAATGCGCCGACTGCAAGATTTGGCCAATGCGGCTGTCGTACAGGTTCAAAGACTAACTGCCGATCCGAAAACGGATGAGAAACTTGGAAAAGTTGGATTCTGATTTCTACCAATAAACCCAGTTATCGCAAAACTTTTACGTTTTAAACTCATCGTTTTCCGTTCTGTTCCGATGAACAAGAGCTGTTCTTGTTTTTGACGGAACTTAATTTTTCTCCTTGCCAAGAAGACTCCGTCGTTTACCTCAAAGTAACCTAACGCAGTTCTAGAATCCGGCAACGGCTGGAGGCCTATCGTTACGATGACCTCGTTCACTTTTTGTAGCGAATGGGGTAACCGAATGATAATAACTTTGCAGCTGTGGCGCCCCTACTGTCGTGCAACTAAAGGGATGTACAATGGTTGTAGTACTGTGAGATTTCCCAAGACAAGATCAGCTGTAAGTCAGTGTTAGTTTCGAACCACTACCTTCCGATAAGTTGTTTCGCTCTATAACAGCTGAAAGACTCGTGTAATTTAAGTTATATTCTTCACTAGTTTGTTTGGAACAGTTTGATAAGGGCCGCTCGACCGAACAGTTCATCGGGAAGTGTAGACGTCGATGAGACACGGGTTTTTGGTTGGGTCTTTCAGGTACTCCTAAAACTGTGGTGTACTATGTATTCATCAATACTTTACCCCACATTGGACTCAGGAAGCATCGTTTGAGCGATTCACAACACCGCTTAAACTTCCGCAATAGACAGCTTTGAAAGCAAAAGAACAAATTCTAACGCTTCCACACGTTCATGTTTCGGCGTAGCTGAATCGTTTTTGGAGCATAGGAGTTCGCAACTCTGTACACTGGTTGTTTTGGTGTATACTCCACGGGATCTTATCCGGGTGCAGATTTGAACCATGAGCTGGCTGGCGGAGCATTTTCAGGAGATAAGTTAGATGGGGAAGGGGGGACTTCTGGACTTAATTTTTCAAATACCCATTCAGAACTCATTCTCCTGTCTGTCTGTGATAGTGGCAATTTTAATCATTTTACCCGATGAAAAATCATCATCCTTGGATTCGGGTGTTACTTATACCAACTACTGTCTCCAATGCACAGCCGTCCACCTCTAACTTCCCAGATGATTGGTAAAACTTTGGCAACCGTAGCCACCGTACATGTGCGCGGTTTGTAACTGAAGATGATGAAAAACATGACAACGCGAAGTCGTTCGTTTATCTAACCGAAAGTGCGTTGGGTATCAATATCAACAAAGCGGCGAGGTGCGCTTAAAAAGCGTACACCAGCAGCCGTTCTTGGATGCTAAGAACCGAAAGTGTACATTGTGCTCACCTTGTCCCATTCAGTGCCTCGTGTCTCAGACTGAATCTCCTGAAACTTATAGGCAACAACACAATAGTATCGCCATTAGCGTACAACAGGACTTCCGTTTCCTTAAACTAGGCTTAAGAGTAATGCGGACGTGACAGTTTTGGCCGGATAGTGCTTAACCGGTGTTTTTTCGGTTTAGGTGCTGAGCGACCAGACTTCGGAGCAATTATTAGAACTGCTGTCCGCCTTTCACGAGGCATGTGGCAAAGTACACTCATTTGTAGAATATGTCGAATTTCCTGAGCATTCTCAACTAACCTTATTATTACTATGCTATGCAAAGACAAGGTATCATTAAGAAATACTTGTGTTGTCTCATGAATATGTTGATAGGGCGGATTCACAGTCTTTGTCTCCATCCGATCGAGACCCTGTGGAGTAAATCAGTACAACGCGTACAGAGCTGCAAACCTGTACTACCTTGAAAAGGGCACTGGTAGTGGCTGTTCCGGAACAGGCTTGGAAAAGGAGTTGGTCCACACCTACCAAAATGTACCGAGGTGATTTACGGGAGTTCTGGGACAAAACAGCCATGAATAGTCGAAAGGATTCTCTCGAGAAGGAAGCATGGATTTGTTCCTACAGACGATACACCCATTTGTCAGTTCATTATATACTTACACTGGTTAATGAAAACAAACGTAAAATGTGGGTTTGTTTTCCGTTCAGATGCGCCGTTTGCTTACCAAAAATCACTCATTCTTATTAGGTAGCATCGTAGTTATGATGAAAACCATGGATGACTGTTGTGTATTGCTAAGCGGACAATAACCCGATAATTTAATATGGAGTGTGCACACCGGGTAAACTGCACCACCCGGTTGTTGGTTGTACTGTGTGAGCCATGTTACTCAATGCGTTCAAATTCAATTAGCTTAAGAAGTGACTCGAAGAGAGAGCAACATAGTTGGACTGTTTCCAGCCATGCCGCATTCGACTTTTACGAGGTTTCGCATCTTCAACTGAGTTATCATATTAGTTAGTTAGCCTCGAATCATCATCATCATCGACAGCATGACATCAGTGTTCAACACCGATGCTTCACTGCCGTACAACCATGACTTATTTGAAAGCCTTATTGTAAAGAAAAGAATAAAGGTGGATGGGGGAGGGACTTAGTGCTAGCTTAACACAATCATTCCGAGGTGCCTACACCTCCAGACATTCACTCAGGCAATCTGGACAACTGACAAACTGACAACAAGAACGCCACTGACATCGGTTGGCAGCCATATCTTGTAGTGCCTCCAACCAGGCACAGTGAGGA